AAAGATATTATGTTAGTAAGACACTGCTGTTTACGCATCTTGAAATCAATTAGAAATAAAACAAATCTGAAAAAAGGATGAAAGGAATGTCTTCCTTTGCAGTAATTTTTAGAAGATGATAGCTTCTTTTTTTGGTGCAGCTTGGTTTATTCTGAGGCTGTAGGATAAATGTCATCAACTGGTCCATGCTCACTTCCCCTTTAGCGTGTGAAATATGTTATGTCCCTAATGGCTTCATGTAGAACAGCTCTCACATAATGTGAGAAGCAAGAGGTAGTTTGTAACTGCAGTTATCCTCACTTCAAGGCTGCTGCTATACATCATCTGCATGCAAGTAACGTGGTTCACTAAGCACATCTTACTTTGAAGAACATGAATCTACAAACAAGCAGAGAAGGGAAGTAAATTTAAAACAACTTCTGATAATTTATTTTCTAGTTGTCCTTTGCGAATTATTCCAAAATTTCTCTTCAATTTGAGTATGTTTGAATGTTTGTCGTCTAGTAATCTTACATTATCAAACGCTATGGAAGTTCTCTAACTTCAAGAAAACAAAGTCTTAATGCCGTTCATCTGGCTTTCACATGAAGTGGTTGTAACTCAGTTAAGGCAACCAGTTAAGCACTGTTCTTGTGGGAACAAAGCTTTTGTGGAGGCTCTGGCAGCTAAGGAGTTCATGACCTACATCTCCTGTGAGAGCATGCTATGCTCTGCCTGTTTGAACTTTTATCTTTATACACATTAGAGTTACTATTGAGTGAATCTCTGAACAGTAAAGGCAGCTGATGAAACAGTGTAGAAGGGAATCTATTTCAGGTAAATACAACTTGCTTTAATGGTAAATTGTGAAGGTTGTCTGCATAAGAATTTGTTGACAATTCTTGAATGCAGAACTTCTCATGTGATAACCTCTTTGGTGCTCCATAGGTAGTTGGTGAAGATATCCTGTGAAAGATAATCTCCCAAGAAAGAGGTAATGAGTGTCAGTGAGTCTAGGATGCCTTGTTAAAAGTGACCTTTGAATTTTTGCATGCGCTGTAATACAAACTTCTCTGCCATCTCTCTAGGAAGGTATGGGTTTTACCATCCTAGATATTCAGTATGCTAACTCCTTGTTCTGAGACCAAGCCTGTAACAATCCCACAATATGATGCTGTAAATGACAGCAAGTTTGGAGACTGTTGGTGAGGATGGCTTTTTGACTCTGAGGAAAAGATGTCTTTAAATTTTGTTTTAATTGAAAACTGCAGCTTAATGCAGTTGGGGGAGAGGGGAACACAGAGCTTTGTACGACTACTCTGACTTTGGCCTTTGAGCGTCTAAATCTAGTTTCAGTGTTTCTTTAGCTCTGTTTTTTCTCCTACTAGAGCTTAGTCCTGCAAACACTATGTGCAAAGTCACCGGGCTTACTCTGAGTGGTGACACTTAGCATTGCTTTAGATTCTTACCTTTACACAGTGAAGCTTCTCTGAACTTCTCTGCTGTAAAACTGTTTGTCATGGTTTGTGGTTTTGTTATGTTGGGGAGGTGCTTAATGGCTCTACTAACACTTCTTACAAAACATAATTCAGCAGCTCACCAAGATGTAAGATAGGAATGGTAACTAGCTGGTTAATAAAAAGAAAACTGATATCTTTGCAGTAAGATCTGCAAAGACAGATCTTACTGTCTGTTTTCTGACACTTGGCAAGCTTCCAAAGTGACTAATCTATCAAAAAGCTACAGAATTCATCATGTTCTTATTTACTCAATCATAGAGCAGCCATAGTTATTGCTGAGCAGAGATTAGAGATGGATATATGTGGAAAATATCTTTTTTGCAGGGCCAGTGAAGTAAGACTAAATTCTAATTCATTGCTTTTTGAAGTGATAACAAATGCAATCTGGATTTGTCAGGGCATCAAGTATGGCTTCTCTTAATGATGAAAGCTATAAAATCAAGTTTTTCTTTTGACATTTTGCCAAAATCTAGTCCCATTTTTTCTTAGAAAATAAACTTACTAAATAGTATGGAGAGATAGAGCCCTAAAAAGAAATAGCTCCTATGCCTTAAGAAAAGCGGGTTTCGTAGCTCTAATCTGACTTAAGGAACTCAAAGCACAGTGGGAAACAGTACTGAATTCCTGCAAAGTGCCTAATGCCTCAAAGTTTAGGCTTTATGTACTAGATATTGAGTTCCAGAAATATAGGTAATAATCCTGGTGCTTTACTAGCTCTTTAGTAGCTTCACAGGTACCTATGGGCAATAGTATCCACTGAGGTTTTTTGATTATGCCTGGTTGTCTCTTTCATTTGCTTTTTTGATGTTCTTTCTGCTGTACTCAGATTAAGACCCTTCAAGGTTTCTTTCCCACTCTTCTTCAGGAATGATCACACTTCATGGCACACTTAGTTTTTGTACCTGGTCAAAAGCTATAATTGAACAGAAACAAATTCTGGTTCGCTTTCTCAGTGAAGGACAATCTACCAAGCTGTGCGCGAAGTGTGTGGTGAAACTGGGAATGAATTTCCCTGATTTCCATGGAAGAAATACTGGAAGATAAGCAGGAAGACCACCAGCAGAGCTCGGGATACTAGCTGACCCCAGCAAAATGACTGACGTGTTTAAGTAGTGAAGAGAGCTGCATTGTTAGCACAGCATTAGCACACCAAATCCAGGCCATATTATTTGTGTAGAACCTGCTTTCTATTATCAAACTGTTTCGACTTCTAAACATTGAACTTAAAATGTGCTTACATTTGTCTGTATACTGGATGCAAGTGTGGGTAATACAGATTTAAGATATCTGTGCAATGAGAACATTGAAAATCTCACGGTGTTAAACAGACTAAATACATAGGGCATGAGGGATGACAGTGGGACAATGGTCTGTTATTATGTTCCTCAGAGCACAAATTAGTTTTAGCCAAAAGAAATTGGGCAGCGTTGTTGTAAGTCCTTGAGGAAATAACAGAGAGGGCTTAGTTTTTGTGGAAGAGAAGCCTTCCTTGAGTTGTAAGTTTTGCCTAAAGTGAGCTCAGTGAACCTGAAAAATTCCTTTGGATATAGCCAAGCAAATGCTGCTTGGATTTCAGCCTTAGCATCCAATAATTGGAGGTGAGCAAACCTGTGCTGTCTATATCCATAGCTCTGCAGTAGAAGTAAAATTGCTTTCGCATGGTTGAAGTGATGGTCCTCATGTGTTTGGGTCACCATTGAGGAGGATGCCTTCTGAAGGTGGTACAGCCTCTGGGATTGCTGTCTACCAGGAACCCCTCAGTAGCTCAAGACCTTTCTGAACATGGGGAAGGAGGCCAACCAGAGCAGGTAGTCTAGCTAGATCTACAGGCTCTGGGTGTGATTGGCGTGGTAACAGAAGAGGGAGGTGGGTAGACAAAGAATTTTTAATGGGCAGAATTATGGATAATCTTCCCAAATGAGGCTTATTCCACTAAGAGTTGAAGCAGCTGGTTTGAGCAACTTCCAAAAGTGAACTTCCTCTCAGTATAGCTATTTCTAACTAAATACAAGTAGATTTTAAAGTATTTCTGGGTATCAAAAGAAGAAGGTAAATGCTATTGTCTTTGGGGCACCTATTCTGGAGAGAGAGCAGCCAAGAGCACAGTGCATTAAGTAAACTTAAATACCTCTGAACTTGATCATCTGTATTGACTTGGTTAATCCTTAAAATTATGGGACAGCTTCGTGAAGCTTACCTATGAAGAGTCCTACTAAGCAGGAGGATTTCAGGTGTCAGGAGGAGTCATTATATGGAAAAAAGAAACAAATAAGGTCTTTGAAAAAGAACATAATTTTCCAGCATGTTTATTCTAGAATAACTGCACTTCTGGAGCTTGACTAGGAAAATGGATGAAGGCTTCTTCCTTGCACTTAATGCTCTTAAGAGCACTGTCTTTTGATCCCATTGATTTCATGCTGTGTAACTGCAATGAAGACAAAGAACAACAAGAGTCCAGTAGCGCTCTTAGCTCTGTCTGAGGGGCAATACCCACTCAGCAAGACTGATCTGCTGTGTTGTGGCAAGCTTCTTCAGACTGAGTAACCTCATATAGTATTACAATGGCATAGTCATGCATAATGTATGGTCTTAATATTTCATTTCTTCATTTGTCCTTTTTCACAGAGTAAATACTAGTAAGTGGGCTTATTTTTGCTGTCTGAATAGTGTCAACTGAAACTAAAGGAAAGACACGAATTAGAGTTTTAAGTTTTGTTTAATGTATCCAAAGTATGAATTTGCAATATGTAACTCATGCTTTCAACAGCACACACTTGCCTTCAGCAAATTAGTTCCTGACAATTATACTAGCTTTATTGGCCAGCTACTAGTATTGCAAAGCTTTTTTTATACTGAAGTATACGGTGATAGGAATGGGTAATGTTGCCCTCCAGTGGTTATGATTGAAGGAGACAGTGTTAGTAGTGCAAACAAAGAATCGATCATTTTGAAAGACAGGGATGTAAAAGCACTCTAGGCTAGGTGCATAAAACCTGCGTTTTTGTTTAAATATGTATTTAAAATATTTTTAAAGATGCGGGAACTCAAATATTAAGTGACTATTAGGACTGCAGTTGTCTTTCCCTCAAGCTAGAGTCCAGTGAGGGTTGACATAATGCAATCTAATGGGGCTCTCCTCTGCTCGCTGAGAGCGAGTCCCGCGTCCCGCTGAATCGCCGCCTCCGCTGCGGCGGGCTCGCCGCTCGCCGCCC